CAACAAAAATTATACCTGTCCACTAAGACGTTTCTGTGATTGTTGAAGTTGTTGTTTTAACTGTTCAATTTCTGCTTCTAAATCGCCAACGTGTTGACGAACTTGAATTAATTCATTACTCACTATAGTGATATACAAATTAATATGTAGCAAGATGATAGGGCAAAGTGTTCTTTTTTGGGAATCACTTCCCAAAAAAGGACAAAAGTGGGTAGTGATTCTCAAAAAAGAACATTTTGCCCTTGGACTCCTGGACTTCAGGAGTCCAGGAGTCGAGTAGTCCGCTATTTCCCCCTTGGATAAAGGGCTGTCAATATACAGCTGAACATGAGGAGATATGGATTTTTATTGCCATCGTAAATGGATGTATGTGTATAAGATTGTTCTGAATACAAATTGTATACAAATTTTCTTCCACCAGAGTATACATATAGAGATTATTCATAAGCTCTTACTCAGTTTCTTGATAAGCTTGTCAAAATGTATCAATTAGACCGGCAACTAAGGGCGCTTCCAAATATATTTCTGCTGGTGGATCGTGATTCCTCTGTATCGTTCGTTATATGTACTATAGCGATTTACTTCACACAGTTCGTGACACGACTTTTCCGCGAACGACGCTTCTCCGAACCGACTCTTCCGCGAATAGATTTTTGGTGCCAGAGTGCGGTGCGGAAGTGAGTTCGAAGAAAAACTGATCCGCCGAAAAAATTCGCAGAAGAGTCGGTGCATCCAGACAATTTGTAGACAAATTTCTTCAGACAACATCATTTCAATCTAAAGTCATATATTGAAGAAACAAATAGGACAAGCACCGTTACATGTTCCGAAAACGTGATTACATAAAAGAAAAGTTTAATCTAAAAGAAAGAGAAGGAAACGAAAGAAAGAATACAACGCCCACTTCTTAATCAGAAATCTGTTTGAACGATATTTTTATACAGAGAGACTTGTGACAGCTATATTCCAGACTGATTGGACTACTTCCTATATTATTGTATTATCCAGAATCTTGAAAATTCCATATCTCAACACAGAAAGGCCATGAGCCCGAATCTTTTGGGGGTTAGTCTGGTCTAGAGGTCCTCTCGATATTCCCAAAAATATGAGCTCAAAAGCGGTGAATCATTTCGAACGAATCTTCATATCAGTGAGTTGTTTTCTGGGAATATAACGGCTAATTTATACAATTCTTCATGTGGTATTGTATTTCTTGGCGCTATTGACAGTCCAATATGTTTATCTCTCCATGCAAGTTTTTTATTATTAGCATCATTTATTTTCTTCTCAATATCCAGTATTAAACCATCTAAATCATTGGTTGTATCCATTTTATCCATAAATATATTTTTTAAGTTTTTTACTGTTTTAAAAAAATCAATAGCTTTTTTATAATAATCACATGCATCAATATAAATTTCAAGTATAGCTAAACGTTGATTGGAATTTCTTGTGTTTAATTTGTTATCTATTTCTTCTGCTGTTTATGAATCTACGGAATGTTTCTGCACTGATTGTTTCTCATCAGTACTGTCATCTTCAATTTCATCATGGTCTTCGTTTTCTTTTTCTTCGATATTGTTCTTATCATTATTATTGTTGGTTATTTCATTATTACAACAACTATTTCCATAGTACATATTTTCATCGGCTATTTTAACAAAGTAATCACCAGCGTTTTCTACATTTTTAATAATCGAATATAAATTTTGTTCATAATTATCATTTAATACTTTAATTTGGTCATATATATATTGACATGTTGAATATTTTGAACGAATTTTTTCATGTAAAGCTAAACTTAACATTTGAAGCCTCTCAGTCATATGTTCATTCCAATTAGGCCTGTGACAGTTCATAGTTTCTTGTACTGCAGTTTCTCGATAACGGGAACTGTTTTTCAGTTGCCGTTCAATAAACGGGAACGGTTTTTCAGTTTCCGTTCTGAACTAGGAACGGTTCAGCA